CTTTCATCCGCCACATGATCAAGTTTCTATTGTTATCCCTACCCACAATTCCACCTACATTTGGCCGACCTTTGTAACTCTCCCAGTGATCAACTCGTTGACAATCCTCAAAATATGATGGTTGTTTGATTGGATTCCCCATGGTGAAGCTTTGTTGCTTATCCTCTACCCTTAGGACTATCTCGTTTGTATCAAAATCAAGTCCTTCCTAGTATTATTGGAATTTGGGATGCCTCTTCTATGTCTAGAATGATAAAGTCAGCTGGAAAAATAAATTCTCCCGTCTTGATAAGCATGTCCTCGACTACTTCATAGGGATGTTTCAATGTTCGGTCCGCCAGCTGAAGGATGATAGAATCCGCCTTGGGATCTCCCAATCCCAATTTTCCGTAAAGAGGCAAAGGAATTAAGTTAATACTTGCTCTTGAATCAATTAAACAATTAATACCTTGTAAGTTTCCTATGGAGCAAGGTAGAGTGAAACCCCCTGGATCTTTAAGTTTGGAAGAGATCCTGTGCTGGAAGATCGCGCTGCACTCTTTAGATAGTGTTATTATTTCATGCTCGAGCGTCTTCCTCTTTTTAGTCAGCATCTCCTTCAAAAACTTAGAATAGTTAACATAGAATAGTTTGGGATTTGAAGGATGGCATCAATGAATAGGATGTTGACATGCAACTTTTTGAGGATTTTCAGGAATTTCATAGCTTGCTTCTCCAATTTGGTCTTCTATAACGTTTGAGGAAAAGGGACCAGAGATGTCAGTGAAGTGCCAGGAACATTTGCCTTAAGCTGTGGATTGTCTGAAACTGTGGATTGTCAGTAGAAGCCAAAGGACAGCTTGAAGTGATGTGATCTGCCACACAACCTGTGCATACCGGAGCTGGAGGTTGTCCCATGTGCACAGATTGAGTTAAAGTATCAAGTTTCTTTGTTATTGCTTCCATCTGCACTGCCAATGCTGTCACTGCGTCCACATTATGCAATCCAGCTATTTTTCTCGGAGCTTCCCTATCTGTTAGCTAGTTGGCCTGATTCTCAGCAATCCTCTCAAATAAATTATGTGCATCATCTACCTCGATAGTCAAAATTGATCCACCCGCAGAAGCATCAACTATATTGCGAAATTCAGCGTACAGTTCATTATAGAATAGATATATTTGTGCCAGTTTAGGAACATCAAGATTTGAACATTTCCTAAACACACGCTTGAACCTGTCCCATGCTTCCGGATATGTCTCATGATCCTTCTGTCTGAAAAGATATACTTCGTTTCTGATTTGGTGGACTCGAGATGGTGGGAAGAATTTCACGGTAAATTTTTGTACCATGTCATTCCATGATACGATGCTCCCAGGGGGTTGTGACATCATCCATATTTTCGCACCCTCCTTCAAAGTGTGAGGGAACAAATGCATTCGGAATGCATCTTATGACATCCCCTCATGGCTAATGACATCACAAAGCATGGTAAAAGCTTGACTATGTTCGCGTGGATTTTTCGTAGCTTTCCTGCTGAACCTGATGTCTTGATGATTCTAGAAAAGATTTATGACATCAGGTCAGATGTGAAAGTTTGCTTGTCCGAACGGTGGATAGACAATAGGAGGTTGAATTGGTGCAGGTAGTGGATTCACATAATCTCTAACCAATATAGAATGAGCTGGAGGTGGTTGTTGAACCTGAAGTGTTGCATTCTGCAGTAAATTTTGAATCTTATCTTGATTCTCAACCATTACCCTCGTTCTTCTTAGTTCTCTTAGTGTTGTTTAAAGGTCATTTTGATTCTAAGATCTAGTAAAAGCCTTAAGAGTAAAATAAGAAGAAATTAGGTATCACGATTAAAGCCTACAATAACAAACATAATAAATAAAATAATAAATAAATAAAAATAATAATAATAATTCAAACCCAATGTAAACTAATAAACTCAAACTAAAACTTTATTCCCCGACAACGGCGCCAAAAACTTGTTCGTGTGATACCCGCAAGCGTACGGGATCGTTGACAAGTAATAATAAGTGAGTTAAGAGTTATCGTCCCACAGAGAATAAATTTAATTCAAATTTACTAGTTTCGTATGGAATTCTAATTATGAAAACAAAATAAATATTTTGATTTGATTTAAACTAAACTAATCTAAGAAAGAGATAAAAATTCGGGCTTTATCAAATTGTGGTGGATTGTATTGGATTTTGACTCCGCCTGCTGCTATTTATTTCAATTCTTGATTCGTAATCTAATTTCTTTCACGAGTTCTTGACAATCGATAACACTAATATTTTAAAATGTTCTTTTCCAAGATACACCAACCTATGATTAACACGACCCGATCATATTCCTAACCCGAATTCATATGAAAATCATGCATTTAGCTTAAGTTATCAATATGCTTGCATGTATGATAGATATTATTCCTAATCCTAACTATACATGTTAATTTTACTAGTTTCGTATGGAATTCTAGTTATTAAAACAAAATAAATATTTTGATTTGATTTAAACTAAACTAATCTAAGAAAGCAATAAATTTAGGGATGTGTGAATCTTACGAGAGACGAAAGAATATATTTGACCATAGAGGGTTTGGAATTGAAACAACTTGTGAAATCATTAATGTCTATTTAATTTTTCACATACACACGTGGATTTTGCATTGGAAGAGTGGATATTGGTTTGGTATTGTGACTTTGAAGCAATTTATAGATTTAATACGGTGATCTCGAATTCTGTGGTAAAAAGATAGATTGTCCAACCAAATATTTTTGAATGCTTGTATGTTTGTTATTATTTAGGTTATATTTTTGTTTGAGAACAAACAAAGATTCAAGTTTGGGGGTTTGATAAGTGTAGTTTCTACACTTATTTGGGATCTTAAATGATGATATTTTGTTATTCTTTGAAGGATTAGTACCTGATTTTTTATTTATTGCTTTTATTAGGAAAAGTTCATGTTTCAAAGAAGAATTGGAAATAAGAACGAAAAATGGCTAAATGAAGCAAATCTAAAGTATGGGGACCAAAGTGTAAATATTTAATGGTTGATTTGGACCACAATGATACTTTGAAGATTGATAGGAGTCAATTGAATGCAAATTGGAGTAAAAAAGAAAAGGGATATGATTAGAATATTACCATAAATCGACTTCCAATCATATAGGATATTTTCAAGATTTTTGGTCAACTTGAGACCCATTTTCGGATGGAGAACGTTTGAATTGGAAACATTGTACTTCTAGAAGAATTGTAGATCTTTTACTTAGATTTCCAATGTACTTTGAATCACCTGAATGGGACACCGAAAGAAAAAGTTATGATCAAAACACTGAAAACTGTGCAGAGACAAAATTATGTGGGCGCGAAGGCAACTTTCTTTATTTGATTCAAACTCTTTTGGAAGACAATTTGGACGTGAATTTTGACCTAATTTCATCAGATAAATACAAGATATGGGTAGCAATGAAAGGGTCTCTCTCTTGCCTCTTCATACACAATAGTTTTATCAAATCCATCAAGAACAAGGGGCCAATTGCTATATTTTGAGAGAGAAGATCAAGCCATAGCAAGGAATTCAAGTTCAATTACATCAAGTTTTGAAGAATTCAACTTTGGACGTGAAGATCAACATCTTTTGTATTCTTTCATGATCCGGGTGATATTTTTCTATTATTCTTTTTGTAATCTATATATTAATATGCTAGGCTAATTTTTTATTGTATTGGATGAGATGAACCCTATTATTTATTTATTTTAATTCAAGACAAGTATTTAGTTTAATTCATGCCTTACTTGATTAATTTTGCATTCCCATTGCACTATTGAATTGTTTGGCCATCAATTAAATAGTTAGTTGCTTGTTGTAGTGTAGAAATACTCACAACGAGTCTAGAACGCGGCAAAATTAACATGTATAGTTAGGATTAGGAATAATATCTATCATACATACAATCATATTGATAACTTAAACTAAATGCATGATTTTCATATGAATTCAGACTAGGAATAGGATCGAGTCGTGTTAATCATAGGTTAGTGTATCTTGGAAAAGAACATTTAACATATCAGTGTTATCGATTGTCAAGAACTCGTGAAAGAAATTAGATTACGAATCAAGAATTGAAATAAATAGTAATAGGCGTAGTCAAAATCCAACACAATCCTCCATAATTTGATAAAACCCCAATTTTTATTGCTTTCTTAGATTAATTTAGTTTAAATCAAATCAAAATATTTATTTTGTTTTCATAACTAGAATTTCATACAAAACTAGTAAACTTGAATTAAATTTATTTTCTATGGGACGATAACTCTTAACTCACTTATTATTACTTGTCAACAATCTCGTACGCTTGCGGGTATCACACGACCAAGTTTTTGGTCATTCCACTTGGTGAAGTAATGGAATCATTTTTATCTTTTGTCATGTCAGGTTCAACTTTCAGGCACCACATTTCTGCTATTGATTATCTTAATACCCTGAACACCTAGTACCCATAATCTGTACCCTTTCGCTCTCCTAGGATACCCTAGCATAACACATTTGGTTACCCTGATATTTAATTTTCCTTCATTTTGGTGTGCATATGCTGCACATCTAAAGACTCTTATGTGTGATAGGTTTGGGGGCTTTCAAGTCCACAGCTCCTGTGGGGTCGTAAATCCCACAGAGCTACAAGGAGATCTATCTATAAGGTATGCAGTTGTACCAACGGCTTCTCCCCAAAAACCTTTAGCTAACCCAAAAATAATTAACATGCATCTGACTTTGTTTGTTAAGATTCTGTTCATTCTTTCAGCCACCCCATTCTATTATGGTGTGTCTAATTGTTTTGCGTCTAACTATTCCCTTTTGTTTATAGAAATTATCAAACTCAGCATTGCAGAATTCCAAGCCATTATCAGTTCTCAGAGCTTTTAACTTCTTATCAAGTTGGTTCTCTACCATCTTTAACCAAGTTCTGAATTTTTTAGAAGTCTTAGATTTTGATTTCAATGGATAAGTCTAGACCTTTCTTGAATAGTCATAGACTATAAAAAGGAAGTACTTATTCTCTCCAAAGGTAGGGTAACTCTCCAGTCCCCACAAATCCGAGTGGACATAGTCTAGGGACCTAGAGGTGGTATGTGACCCATTCTCAAAACTCACCCTATGCGACTTATCCAACACGCATATTTCACAAAATTCGCAGAGCTCAATCATATCTTTTCCAAGTAGTTTCTGATTACTTAGATACTTGCGACCCTTATTTCCTATACATCCCATTCTATTATGCTAGAATCCTAATTTGTTTTCAGTTATGGTTAACGATTTTGCATCTTCTGGGATAACAGTCCCCTCATAAGACAGTATAAACCATTTCTTTTTGGTCCCTTAAAAATTACCAAAGATCCTTTCATAACTTTTAAAATATTATTTTCAGTCTTGAAAGAATGTCCTTCATCTTCGAGAATTCCCAATGAGATGAGATTTCTCTTCAAGTTCAGGACATATCTCACATTCTTCAATTGCTTGACAATGCCATCATACATCTTGATGGAAATGTCACCAATACGAAGAACACTTTGAGAGTTATTATTACCCATGTTACTAAAATTTCACTTGAGTTTGGTTCATTGGAGCGTTTCCAATCAAATTTGACTAAAATTTCACCTGAATTTTGTTCATTGGAGCGTTTCCAATCAAATTTGACTAAAATTTTACCTGAATTATGTTCATTGGCATCTTTCCAATTAAATTTGACTAAAATTTCACTTAAGTTTGGTTCATTAGCGCGTTCCCAATCAAATTTGACTAAAATTTCACATGGATTTAGTTTATTGGCACGTTTCCAATCGAATTTGACGAAAATATTATCCGGGTTTTGTTCAATGGCGTGTTTCCAATCAAATTGGACTATAATTTCACTTGAGTTCTGATCATTGGAGCGTTTCCAATCAAATTCGACAAAAATTTCATCTGAATTTTGTTCATTGGCGTGCTTCCATTCAAATTTAACAAAAATTTCACTTGATTTTGATTCATTAGCGCGTTTCTAATCAAATTTGACTTTTCACCTGGGTTTTGTTCATTGGCGTGTTTCCAATCAACTTAGCTGGTGGATAAGTTGGGCAGAGAATTGAATTTTCGGAATCTCGCCAGATACCCCAGCGAGGAGTTACGAAATTCCTCTCGTTGCTGCTCGTCAAAATGGTCCATCACAATCTTCACATACTTGAGGTTGCTTCCCTGCAAAATGTGGACCCACAACCTTGCATCTTCCGGAATACAGAATTCGAACTCCATCTGTCCTATATGGTACATTGATAAAAACGGGGTTACAGGATAAACATAAATAATTGTAACATATATAGCAATTTAATGAAGCGAAGTCATGCGCTTTAACAGCAAACTGTCAAGAAAAACTGAATTTAACCGTCGATACCGACAAATGAACTGTCGAGACCTGTGGATACCGACGGTTGATGTTAGGAATGAGGGTTAACTATCGAGAAAAACTCAGGTGAAATGTCGAGAATGACAGTTCACTAGGAGTTAGTCTGCCTGCTAAACTGAGATGTACAGGTGAACTAAATTAACATGCAAGGGTAACGAATGAAATTCACATCAGTTGAAGAAACACCCAATGAACAAAACTTCGGTGAAATTTTTGTCAAATCTAATTGGAAATGCACCAATGAACTAAACTCATGTGAAATTTTAGTCAAATTTGATTGGAAGAGCACCAATGATCAAAATCTAGATGAAATTTTAGTCAAATTTGATTGAAAAAACACCATTTAATAAAGCTCACATGAAATCGTAGTCATTTTTGGTTGGAAGCATGACAATGAACAAAATCCACACGAAATTTTAGTCAAAGCCAATGAACCAAATTCAAGTGAAATTTTAGTTAAGTTCGATTGGAAACATGACAATGAACAATATCCAAGTGAAATTTTTGTCAAATTTGATTGAAAACGCGCCAATAAATCAAACTCAAGTGAAATTTTAGTCAAATTTGATTGGAAACACACCAATGAATAAAATTAAATCTAAATTTGAGTCAAATTTTATTGAAAACGCACCAATAAACTAAACCAATGAGAAATTTTAGTTAACTTTCATTGGAAACCCGTTGATAAACAAAATGCAGATGAAATTTTTGCCAAATTTGATTGAAAACGCACCAATGAACCGAACTCAGGTGAAATTTTTGTCAAATTTGATTGGAAACGCGCTAATGAACTAGACCCATGTGAAATTTTAGTTAAATTTGATTGGTAGAGCACCAATGATCAAAATTCAGATGAAATTTTTCTCAAATTTGAATGAAAACGCTCCATTTAACGAAACTCGGATGAAATTGTAGTCAAATTTGATTTGATGTATGACAATGAACAAAATCTAGACGAAATTTTTTGTCAAATTTGATTGGAAACGCGCAAATGAACCAAATTAAAGTGAAATTTCAGTCAAAATTGATTGGAAACACGTCAATGAACAAAATCCATGTGAAATTTTAGTCAAATTTGATTGGAAACGCGCTAATAAACTAAACCAATGTGAAATTATAGTCAAATTTGATTAGAAGCGCACCATTGAACAAAATTCAGTCTTCTTTTACACAAACCTTCAATGCCCTCCCCCCTTCCCCTCCGCTTCATACTGAGGACCTCAAAAGGTCCCCAGTAGGAGCGGCTAATAGGGAAGTCTCCATTAATGCAACAAACAAGGGTAATGGAATGGGCGAGCGGGAGAAGGGAGCACGGGGAGGATATGGTGCCAAGGCACTGAAACTGATAGAAGTTTCAGTGAAGTCGGTGAGGTGGGCTGGGGCGTTCAAGTTTGAGGGTGTTTGATAAGTATATTTTAAACACTTATTTAGGCCATTAAAATTGAGTATTTGTTTATGAATTTGATGAAATATGGCTTAATCCTATGTATATATTGTGTGTACATAACAATCAATGGAAGATACGAGAATAAAGAAAATAAGTGGGAAAAACGACTCAATTACATCAAGGGCAAAGATTGGGGACTAGGATGCAATAATCCAAAAATTGAATTGGACCAGAAAAGATACATTGGAGATTGATAGGAGTCTACAGTAGTCAATTATTTCCTTTCCTCACTCATAAGATACACACCCCAAACTTATGTTTTTTATTCACTTTTCCCAAGGTATGCACTAAGGTTGACTTTTAGCTAATTCTGATCCTTACCCTCTCTCATTTGGATAGATCTTAGCTAATATAGATTCTCATCTCAACTAATAAGGATTCTCCCATTTTTTTATTATTTCGGCTTCTAAGACTCAATTGAGCTAATGACCCATCGTCAAAGGTATAAGTCCCTAAAATAGTTGTTCGAGGCTTAATCTTGGCACTTGGTGCGTCTTCTGTTTCATGCATTTGCTCATTCCGAAATATTTTTCTCTTCTTTTTTATTTTTATTTTTTTTTCATTTCTCTTCTTTTTTATTTTTATTTTTTTTCATTTATATATATATATATAAGCGATTAAGTGACCCCTGTAGTGAGTTTTCAGTCGATGACTCCCAAGTGAGATGACCATAGGGCACCAGGTTTTAAGGATCCTTACAGGCTTAATTGCTCGAGTCAAAAAGGTTCTGAAGAGAAGTTCTTTTTACTTCTTTTAATTGCCAAGATTTGTGCAATACCCCTTATTAAACAATTATTCTCGAAACCGAACCCCTAACTTGAGGTTTTCGTCTCAATTTATCTTATTGGTTTTAGATAATCCACACAATCATTTCGTACATGGAATCCTTACTTATCTCAATGTTTCTCTATACTAGTTTAATCATTTCCAAATTCTCCTAAAAGAGGTTTTATGGTCTTATTTTTTTGTGTTGGTTCGGGTTTGAATCAACTATGTTCAACTTTCTCCTTATACAAACCAAGTCATCAACTCATAATGTAGAACATGAATATCGTGCTCAATAGAGATCAAGTTTCACATCAACAAGTGTCAACTAACTCAACCCCCTCAAGTGCACCTTCGGAGTGGTCCCCGACAAATTCTTAGGATACATGGTCAACCAACGCGGGATCGAAGCCAACCCTGAGAAGATTGAGGTCCTATGCAAGATGAGGTCCCCCCAAAAGCCAAAAGAGGTGCAAAGCTTGACTGGGCGAGTGGCCGTGCTTGCCGCTTCGTCTCCAAAGTTACAGACAAATGTCTCCCATTTTTCCAAGTGCTAAAAGCTAGGAAAAAGTTCCAATGGAATGAGAAATATGAAGAGGCCTTCCAGGGCCTGAAAAGGCACCTAGGACAGGCCCCCCTCCTCTCCAAACCGAAGCTCAGTGAAATTTTACAGCTGTATCTAGCCGTCTCCAATGAAGCCATCAGTGCGATTCTAATCCGAGAAGAGGGAACCACCCAACTCCCCGTTTACAATAAAGTAAAGCACTTCTATCGTCGAAAACCCTCTACCCCGATATGGAGAAGCTCGCTTTGGCCTTGATCACGGCCTCCAGGAAGTTGAGACCCTACTTCCAAGTCCACACCATCCATGTGCTGACAAACTTTTCCCTAAGACAGGTACTCCAAAAGCCCGATGTCTCAGGAAGATTATTGAAATAGGCGGTGGAACTAAGTGAATTTGACCTCGTGTTCAAGACTAGGGCAGCCATCAAGGGCCAAGCCTTGGTTGACTTTGTGCCAGAATTCGCCAACTTACCAGATTAATTCAAGTTTACTAGTTTCGTACGGAATTCTAATTATGAAAACAGAATAAATATTTTGATTTGATTTAAACTAAACTAATCTAAGAAAGCAATAAAAATTGGGGTTTTATCAAATTATGGAGGATTGTATTGGATTTTGACTCCGCCTATTGCTATTTATTTCAATTCTTGATTCGTAATCTAATTTCTTTCACGAGTTCTTGATAATCGATAACACTAATATGTTAAATGTTCTTTTTCAAGATACACCAACCTATGATTAACACGACCCGATCCTATTCCTAATCCGAATTCATATGAAAATCATGCATTTAGTTTAAGTTATCAATATGATTGCATGTATGATAGATATTATTCCTAATCCTAACTATACATGTTAATTTTACTAGTTTCGTATGGAATTCTAATTATGAAAAAAAATATATTTTGATTTGATTTAAACTAAACTAATCTAAGAAAGCAATAAAAATTGGGGTTTTATCAAATTATAGAGGACTGTATTGGATTTTGACTCCACCTATTGCTATTTATTTCAATTTTTGAATTGTAATCTAATTTCTTTCACGAGTTCTTGACAATCGATAACACTGATATGTTAAATGTTCTTGTCCAAGATACACCAACCTATGATTAACACGAACCGATCCTATTCCTAGTCCGAATTCATATGAAAATCATGCATTTAGTTTAAGTTATCAATATGATTGCATGTATAATAGATATTATTCATAATTCTAACTATACATGTTAATTTTGCCGCGTTCTAGACTCGTTGTGAGTATTCTACACTACAACAAGCAACTAACTATTTAATTGATGGCCAAACAATTCAATAGTGTAATGGGAATGCAAAATTAATCAAGTAACACACGAATTAAACTAAATACTTGTCTTGATTTAAAATAAATAAATAATAAGGTTCATCTCATCCAATACAATAAAAAACTAGCCTAGCATATTAATATATAAATTACAAGAAGAATAATAGAAAAATATCACCCCAGATCATGAAAGAATACAAAAGATGTT